ATACGCTAAACGAACGCCAAGCAATACGGTAACAAATCTAAGATATATGCTAAACGAACGCCAAACAATACGGTAAAATATCTAAGATATACGCTAAACGAACGCCAAGCAATACGGTAAAAGATCTAAGATATATGCTAAACGCTAATAATGTAAAACAATATGGTGTATTAAACAGCAACCCAAACAGGAAACTATAGTGAGTAGAGGGGTATGAATGAATAAATACAGCAGCATGAGATGAGCAGCATGGATAATCAGCAGCACAGATAAGTCACATATCACCAGTTAAAGTGGCATTACAGTGATTTTTTTTTTGTTGTTCTTAGAGAAATGAAAACAGTTTTCAGATTAAAGGCCTTTTACTTGAGTTATTCCTTAGGTCCTAGACTTTAGATTTATCAGCCCACAACCTTTTGTTTTTGCCATTTCGATTTCCTCTCAATCAATAACTTGAACTTCCTTGATTTTCTGTTGCGTTCAAAACTTTCTTTTTTCTTATTAACCTAGAACATTTCTATTGCCTGTTGGCCAGTTCATCAGTGCAAATTAGAACTGGTTAAACAGGTAAGTTATATAAATCTAAAACATAGGAAAATGTCCATAAATTGGTTGTCAAAATGTTTAATTCTTGTAGACATTTTAAGCTTTTTCAAACGTAAGCAAAGCGTTTTTCTTTTGTTACAAACACAAGTTTCTAGATATCTTCCAAACGATCTCTTCTCTCTCATTTCAGAATAGCTCAGAACATTTTTTGGCGACTCCACAAGAACCAGTTCCTTGTAGAAGAGACAGTGGAGCAGCTACGGTGTGAGACATGTCAGCGTTTCCTGGCTGACCGCTTTGTAGAAGGCATGTGTCCCCACTGCAGCTATCCCGAAGCTCGCGGTGATCAGTGTGATAAGTGTGGGCGCCTCATTAACGCAGTGGAGCTCAGGGTGAGTTTATCGGAGAACGTTTTACATCTGCGTCGCTTTTATAACGCTTGATCTGTATTTTATTTATTTGGTGATAAATGACTCTTGTAGAGACAGGAAATTTTAATTACCTTAGTCACAACAAATAACAACAACTAAATTGTATTTTCAAATGTACTTGCTTTTATTTGATGTCTGGTAGTATTCACTTTACTCTCAAACCTCTGTGATCCTTTATGGTTATAAATCAGCAATGTTGTTAATAATGCACATAGCTAAATGTTAATTGACAATCAGCTATTATAATATGTTAAAAAAATGCATGAAGTATATTTAAACTGTTACGGCCAAATTGTTGAATATTTTCAATTAAAAATTAAAATGGATGAAACATAGTGTGAAGATGATTGAACTAAAATATTGCAAGATAGTGTTGCCCATAAAAGGACATATTTTTAAAGTCCTTTTTAAAATAATAATTACATTGAAAAATTCTGATGAAAATTGTATTTACATTTTGTCCAAATCTATAAATAATTATTTATTATTACGGTGAATGTCTTCCAGGAACCTCAGTGTAAAGTCTGTAGACAAACTCCGGTAATCCGTTCCTCCAAACATCTTTTCCTGAACCTCCCTAAGGTAAGACACTGGTACACACTGTTCACAGTATTCTGTTCTCCACTGCTTAATTGCTTACAGAGATAACGACAGAATATTCAGCGTGGTTAAAGTTGCATTCAGTGACAGAGCTTCTGGATGAAAGTTTTCCATGTGATAATGCTGTCATACAAATGGCTTCATTTGTGCTAAAGCTGTCCTCGAGTTAAAAATGTAGTTGTTCGTGACAATCTTTTTTTTTTTAACACAGCTTGAATCTCAGTTGGAGCAGTGGCTAGAGAAATCAACCAGTTCAGGAGATTGGACGGCGAACGCCAAACAGATCACTCGCTCCTGGATTAGAGATGGACTCAAACCTCGCTGCATCACCAGGGATCTGCAGTGGGGAACACCAGTACCTCACCCTGACTTCAAAGAGAAGGTCTGCCCTACTCACTTGTAGTTCAAATCAATTTTATTACTATCTGTCCCCTCCTTAATGATGCAATTTAAAGTATTTTTGCTTACATGCTGTTGTTGTACATACACTAAAATTGTTAAGGTTGTGTTTCCTATTAAACATTTAAATTAATGTTTTATTACTGGTAGTTTTTGCAGTCACTGGTAATCTCTTAACGCAGTGGTGGATTTGTACACTGACAGCTTTATTACACTGCTCTAAAACTGTCTTTGCTAAAATGTGACTTTATATTTAGGTCATTATGTCCCTTTAGGATTCTTTTTTTCTCTCTTTGTAATTCCATCTTTAGTTAAACTCCGTAACAAAAAGAAAATTGTGTGGCTTCTTTTCCCCACAGGTGTTCTATGTGTGGTTTGATGCCCCCATTGGTTACCTGTCCATTACTGCCAACTACACCAATGAATGGGAAAAGTGGTGGAAGAATCCTCATCAGGTATCAGGGAGCACACATTTTTCAATTAACGAGCCCTATAAAGAACTAATTCTCAATTTATGCTAAGATTTTTATCTTGATGCATGCTCAATAATCAATAAGATTTTTATGTTTTTAGCTCTCATTAAACTTTATATAAACAAGATGTGAATCTAATATAAAAAGTTGTGGAATCTGCAACAGTGTAGATACAGCTGTAAAGAAATATATTGAGACTCGTTTTAAACTAACCAGCCTGCTCAAAGTTTCCTTTTTCTGTATATACAGTTCTATCTCAGCTTAACTTAAAAAGAGGAACCGTTTGACTTGAGTTTGATATTTTAGGCACACGACTCACAGTTCCCTCATTTACAAACAGGAATCAACTGCTAATTATCTGACATGGTTCTATACATGTGAACTTAACTGACCTAAAACCTGAGCGCTCAGAAGTCTGACATGCACTCAGCCCTCTCCGTGTAAAACCCCAGGATTGAGCCCCTCTTATGAGCGCGCCATGCTCTGTATTTTCAGAGTGAAAGCGAACGAAGGTGGGGGGGAGCAGATAAAGCCTCTTTGAACTGGATGATCTCATGATGATCTAATATGATGTCATCTTCACCGTGCAGTGTTGTGTGTCTGCCACCAGGTGGAGCTGTATAACTTCATGGCCAAAGACAACGTGCCGTTCCACAGCGTGGTATTTCCCTGCTCTCTACTGGGAGCTCAGGACAACTACACACTGGTCAACCACCTAATCGCCACAGGTAATCACTTCTCACAAGGGAAGGAGGCCAGATGAGTTGTCATGTATGTGTTAGATTGTTCAACTAGATTGGAGGTTCACAGCAGATGTTTGAATGAGTATAAGTTATATCGCATAATAAATGTGTGTTTTTGCTGAAGGTTTGGGCTTTGACAATAATCTGATCTGTAATTTTTTTCTTCAGAATATCTGAATTATGAGGACACAAAGTTCTCCAAGAGTCGTGGTGTGGGTGTGTTTGGTGACATGGCGAAGGACACGGGCATCCCATCGGACGTGTGGCGGTTCTATCTGCTGTACGTGCGTCCTGAAGGGCAAGATTCAGCTTTCTCTTGGGCTGACATGGCTCTGAAGAACAACTCTGAGCTGCTCAACAACCTGGGAAATTTCATCAACAGGTAGGTAGTGGTCATTTGTGTGAAAAGCAGTTCTTGCCTTTGTGCGTTTTTTTTAGTTTGGACACTACCAACTTCAGAATATCAGCTTTTACAGCGATTTAAAAAGACATGCTGACCCATTGTTTTTTGTTATTGTCTTTGTGTTACATCATTGATCACTGATTCCTGATGTGTGACCCAGTGTGTGTTTTATTTTATTGCTCATGTCAGTCATCAGATAAAAAGAAAAACTGGGTAATTCACTTCAGGTTGCTCCCACTTTCCTCATGTGTTTCTCTCAGGATGTAAAAATGCAGCAAGACTGCCATAAAGTCCAATTAACAACTTAGTTTTCGAATTGTTGTATTCCTTGGATCAAGTCTGTTACAGCACTATTACAAGACGTTTACCCCAGTTTTCTAAATTTGAGATGGCGTAATTTAGCCCCAATTACATTGCCTCAAATGATTTTTTTAAAAGATCATGGTTAAATCCTGCATCAAAGATTTTTTTTCTCGGCAGCTTTTTTTCTGAGTACCTTGATCTTTAAAATTGGTCTCGGGCAGCAACGTTGATGCCTAATTGCTTCAAAAATATCTAGTAAATTGCGTTCAGCCTAAGGTAGAAAGAATTCTTCTTCAGAAACATAAGTCCTGACCTTCCCTGAATCCAGTTTGTGAGTAGATTAGATTTTAGTAGTGACAGTGCATCTTTATTTTACAGGTGATTAATATTTTTAAACCTTTAGAGATTTTATGGCTGCAGTGCTTCATGTAATTGCTATTCAGGGAAAGTATTCAGTTAGTTTGTCACATAGGTTTGACAGTTTATCTGTTTTTGTAAAAACCCTGCGGTCCCTTCCAGAGCTGGCGTGTTTGTTACCAAGTTCTTTGAGGGATGTGTGCCTGTGATGGATCTGCAGCGGGAAGATAAAAAGCTTTTGGCTCTGGTGGGTTGGGAGCTGCAGCAGTACATCCAGCTTATGGACAAAGTCAGGTACGAGCAGCTGATCCCAGTGAAAACATTTGTAACGACATGATGTTGGATTTAGGCACAGAATTACTAGATTTGATGGATGATTAAAATGACAACATGCGCACGTTTAGTATCGCACTACTTTTTACTGTGTTAATGCTGCGTCCATTTCAACGTTTCTACAGGATCCGCGATGCCCTGAAACACATCCTGAACATTTCCCGTCATGGCAACCAGTACATTCAGGTTAATGAACCCTGGAAGAAGATCAAAGGAGGAGAGCTGGAAAGGTGAGATGACCTAAACCAGTTTTTACAATCTGCACCTTTGTAGTACACTCAGTGTAGACAGAGCTGTGTAGTACTTTTACTCTTAATTTGTGGAATTTCACTCTTTTTTTTTTTTTTTTTTGTCTTTAAACAGTAAAAAAGCCAATCTTATTTTACACAAATTCAACTTTAACTTACACCGCTGATACCTCTGATGAGTTGATGTGATTTGTTTGATCTTTTCAGGCAGCGTGCCGGCACTGTGACTGGCGTTTCTGTGAATATTTCCTGCTTGCTGTCAGTGATGTTGTTTCCTTATATGCCAGCGGTCAGCCAGACCATCAGGGATCAACTCAACGCTCCTCAGTCTTGTATCAATACCATGCTGAAAGGCACCGGAACCTTTGTGTGTGCTCTGAGCGCAGGCCACCGCATTGGCACTGTGAGTATGACCTCAACATGAAAGATGCATCAGTTCCACCTTTGCAGACACAGAAAACGTGCAGCACATCGAAGCTGGGTGATACAATGAGGACGCAACAGTCTGTCAGTATTTCAGTAATGTTGAAGGCGTTGCAGTTTTGTGAACGCACACATGCAAACACACACGCTCACGAATAACAGAATAGATGATATAAGGAGGTCTCAGCCTTCCAGCAAACAGCAGTTTCTCTCAGGCCACTTGTCCCTTTAGGTCTAATCGCAGCAGTTTGACGATGCTGCGTTAAAACAGCACCACGGTCACGACTATCGACTGCAGTCTGTAGACAAAGAGGGACACTCCATCACTGAAAGCTGTCTGACAAACTGTTTCCTCCTGTACAGTGTTTTCTGTGACGAGACTTGAAAACCTCTGCATTTACATGCATAATCTTATTTATTCAAATTATTCAAAGGTCATCAGAGCATTTGATGGTTTAATTTTCAGCTAAATGAGCCGTGGAATGAATAAACAAAAAAACTTTTAGAAAATATCTGCATATATTTGATTTATTATTTATTTATTTTTTTGCCTCTGCTTGTTTTACTCCCAGGTCAGTCCGTTATTTCAGAAACTGGAGGCTGACCAGATCGAAGCTTTGAAGAAACGATTTGGTGGACAGCAGGTATTTGATGTTTATAATATCTAATGGTCCGTGCATGAGTTCAGTCAGGTCATGTATTGATGCAGATTAACTTTTTATAAAGTATAATATTAGGATTACATGTATTGACACGACTGTCACTGTGAATTAAAACTGGCTCCGGACTGGAGCGTCGTTTTGTTTTAAACATGATACGGAGGAAAATGCAGAGTGCGTGCTTAAATTTTGTTTGGATCATATAAATAAAGATAATCCCTCTCTAAACCTTTTTGCCTCTAGCCTGAAGATGAGCCATCTAATAAGAAGGTATTGAGTGGCATTCGTTTGTGAAGAGTCAGTCCACATGTGCTGCTGTCAGTGTTGATTACCGACCGCCGTCACTAACACGAGCTGCCAATTTGTCGTCTTATTTTGAATTTTTACTCATCCTAGTGTGACTTATTGTCCATTCACATGTAATGGTTCATCAAATTTGCGTTTTGAGTGTAATTAAAATAAAGCAAGTAATCAGCAGAGCTTTCCATTGAAACGCTTGATTAAAATCTTGATTCACATCGTCAGAAAACGCTTCAGAACAACGCCAGTGCTCAACCTGCTGCTGCAGCTGCTCCTGCTGTTGATGTCAACGCAACAACGGTGGCTGGAGTGGACCCGGAGAAAGCCAAGCAGCTCACACAAGCTGTGGCTGAGCAGGTTAGGTCACAGTAAAACGATCCATCAAACACAAAATGAACGTTTTACCATTGAGTTGTAGGAATCACTTGAAAACTGGAATTACTTTCAAGTATTTTACTGTCTTTTTATTTGTAATGTAGTGAAAATACTGACTGAAGTTTTGACAATTTAAAAGACGGCTCCATTAAACAAATTGGCTTTTCGGCAAATTAGAGAAATAGTTCATTTTAAAAGCTGAATGGTTTATATTTCCTGTTCCGAAACTGTTGTGTGCAGGTTTGTGTTTATTGAATCATAAATATTTAGAAAAAATACAAAAACAGTATTTTATTTGAATTTTAGCCTTTAGATTTTTAAGTCAAATTAAATTTTTTGTAACACAGTAAGAGGCTCCCGCTCAAACCCAAATTTCCAGGATAATGAATGCTTTGGCATTTTTATACCAAAGTAGATTATATATACAATAATTTACCACCAATTTATTTGGAGCTTTGCCTTTCCTTTTTTTACAGGGGGACAAGGTTCGAGCACTGAAAGTCCAGAAGGCGGAGAAGGACGTGGTCGCAGCAGAGGTGTCCAAACTTTTGGATCTTAAGAAACAACTAGCTCTCGCTGAGGGGAAGAGCCCTGAGCCTGCACCTCAGAAGGGCAAGAAGAAGTGAGACAGGGAAAAAGGGAAATCAAAACTAAAGGTTAGTCAGAGGAAAGAAGGAACAGAATGGTTTTGAGTACGACAGAGAATGGGAACAAGATGTACACCGTGAGATGAGGGTATTAGCTTAAGGCAAAGCCGTGACAGGATCTTAGACAATGTGGTGTTGGCAGCAAGGACTAATGAAATGCTGGATAGGCCGGCGGGGAAATAAAAACACAAAGAGACAGTCAAATGAATACAGCTACAGAATGGAGGGATTTTTCCAAATCCCTCCACCAAAAGAAACTGATTTTATACTCCCCCTGTGATAGTCAGCGTACCATATCAGCATTGGAAGGTGTGTTGTACATTTAAAGATGGCTTTTTTATATCCTCTGGATTTCTTTTTTTTTTTTTTTGCTACAGCTACCTTTTTTTTTTTGGATCAATAAATAAATTATTCAAGTTTAGTGAGGGAAAAAAATTGTTTTCTGTTACTTTGATTTGTTTTTTCTATACCCTTTAAAGTTCAAAAGCACAAGAATTAGAAAAGCAAATAAAACATAATCCGACTCTATACATGTTTTTACTGGATTTTATTGCAAAGTTGTCATTACAATAATAATAATGGTAAAATACACAGTTGTGATGCCGTAATAAAAGCCATGCATATTAAAAAAAAAAACTATTGGACTACAAGAAAAAAAACGAAAGAAAAAAAACCAGTATGTTGATCTTACAGTACAAGCCATTTCAGTACAAATGTATATATTTTACAGATTTATATAAAAATAGTAAATCAGGTAGAAGTAAATTCTACCACAATATCCCCAAAATGATAGAAAAGGTCAGCTTCAAAGTATAGCTGAATTAATCTAAATATAAACACAAGCCATGGGTTATATAAAAAAGGGGGTGGGGGGAGATGTTAGTCATTTATTTTATTTTTAGGGTGGGAAAGAAAAACTTCTCATAATCACATTGCACTTTCAAATTATTCCTGAGCTTTAAAACTCTAGAAATTGGGGGAAATAATCTCTGCTAGCCACATTGTAGCCCTTAAAGAAGTTACAGTTTATTGCAAATGGTGAAACGATGAAATGCTCTTACTGAAGCTCCTTTCTGGTAAACGCTCAACTAAAGTTCCATCATTTCTTCCATTCATTTTGATTGAACCCATTTTTCATTCCATTAAAAAAAAAAAAAACATTCATTAAATCCACTGCATGATTTACATCTCAAGCTTTTTTCCTTCTTCATACATTCTGTGTCTTTTTAATTTGCCGCAATACCATTGCAGCCCCTTGTCCTTGAACCCTTTCATGTTTTATCTCGACTTTCATCGCTGTTCTTCTTGCCATCTGTACTTACATTTCTTCCCTAAAACTCTTTTAAAATGCATCTTTGGTTTTGATTTGTCCGTCTGTCATATCCTGACCACTGCATTTCAGCTTTCCCACCACTGCTTATTTTAACTCTTTAGGACCTTTAATCTTGTATTCCTGTCTTCCATCTGTCTCTTTCCCCCCCACTCTTATTTCCTGGTGTTGACTAGCCTCTCAATCAGAGCTCTCCGTGTCTTCTGTACCTCCTCTCCCAGCCTTTCGATCTCTGCTTTCAAACGCTCGTTCTGCTCCGTCAGCTCTTGTACTTTCCTCTCGTTCTCCTGCTCTCTTTCTTTGCGACTCTTTTTGGTAGACGAGTAGGATGTGCGCTGTGTTGAGGAGGAGAACGAGGACAAGGCACTGTTGGCCCTCTCGCTAGTGGTCCTCTTCCGTTTTCCCAATCGGGAGGACAAATAGACAGAGGGAGAGGAGACGGGTGAGGAAGGAGGAGAACAATTTTGAGACGGCGACTGGGAAGCTGAAGAGGAGCAGGAGGGAGAATCTGGGACGCAGGGCAGTTCCTCCTCGCTGGCTGAGGGAGATGCAGGATGGAGGTTATTAGAGTGGTGATGTTGATGATGATAATAATAGCCACCGCTGATCACAGCTCCACTTTGATCCACCACTCCCACTCCTCCTTCACTCAGCAATTCAAAAAACTCCGGAGGCAGCAAGTCACCGCCACCTCCCGTCGAGCCATCGCCACTTCTCTCGCCCTCCACCCGCTGCTCTTCTGCAACAGCTGGACTCATGCAAGAGGAGGATGATGAAGAAGAGGAGGATGAGGAGTGATGCAAAGGTTGGGTGGTGTGGAGCTCTTCTGTTGTCTTCTGAACGCCTTCAGCCCATGTCTGGTTTCCATCGGTGAGCCACATCAGAGAACAACTCTCCAGAACATCCAGAAACTCAGGCTCCTTCTACAAACAAAGTCAAAATAAAAGTGCAATTAACTTTTTTTTTTTTTTTTTTTTAAACCACCATCACTTGTAGGCAAATATTAAAAAATACAATACTCAAAGTTACAATATTACAGATTTTAAACTACTGACCTCGGTGCATGTGGGGGCACGTGCCAGTTTTGCCCCTCCCGAATCGGAGCCCAGAATATCCTGCAGGTCCTCATACCACGCCTCCAACTCTGCACCATATAACGGCCCTACACCAGGAGGGTACGGCGGGGGCAGGTGTAGCCACTCGGCAGTCATCTCGCCAATCAGTCGCAACACACAGATAGTCGGCCACACGGTTTCAACTGGACCTGGTGGGTGGGAGGAGGCGCCAAACCCGGGAGAGTTAGGAATCAGATGAAAGAAGAGCACAAAGCAGCTGCGTGAGATTAATGACATGTCAGAATGACTCCACCTTCAAAATTTTTAAAACCACTTTTCTGCAGCTGGTGTGATTCGGAAAGCTGGTATACAGTATAATAAATATTATTTAAAAGTGAGGAATTGTATATTTATGGATTTATTTAATGAAAAATAACATGCCAGGCCAAAAATCTCCATGTTTCATCTACCTAATTGTAAAATGGAACAGTGGGATAACTGCACGCCTGACAAATCATGCGTCAGGTGGAACAAAACCAGTTACAATAATGAAAAATGATCACAAAAACAAAATGTAAAAGCCAATTTACCTTCAGAAATTCTTTGTTAATCAAGTCTGGAAAATCGTCGGAGATAGATTGTCCCAATAATTCTGCAAAAAAATAAAAAATTAAATTATTATTTCAAAGAAAGACTCATTTAAAACCTAAAAATTGCTGAGATTTCAAAATGATTTGGGTAGATACAGAGCAAGAGAACAAAAGGTGCCTGAAAATAACCGCTTTAAATAAACAAGGACAATTTTACATAAAGGATACAACTTTTAAAAACAAATCTTAAATACACAAAGACAACAGAAACATTAAAATAAATAGTCCAGAACATAATTATTGTAAACAAAGACCTAAATGTTCTCCACTGCGCCCCCTGGTTTTTGCGGCTCTTAAAACATGCTCAGGTGGAAAAACAACGTCCGTCAGATCAGCTTTTATCATTTTATATATATTTAAAAAAGACTAGAAAAACAAGTGGTCAGAATTATTTTAAAGCCTAAAACTGCCATAATTTATAGAAAAGATCTTTTTTTTTTTCTTCCATTTAAAATGAACAGAATAAAAAATTTAAACAAGCTCTGGTTGTGATTTTAATAGGAAAACACAGAAAGCCCTCTCATTTCCCTTTCAAAACTTTCTGCGTGTGTGCCACAACTAAAACAATCGGTGTTGGCGACAGAAAACGATTATCTTCAAAGACGAATTCAAAGACAATTCAGTTTTTATGGTTTTAGCTGAGATACTTGTCAACTGTACGCCAAGACAGTTACGTCATGGAAATGCAAGTCCAGCAGGAGGAATGGGCGAAACAAAAGGAAAAAGAAGAAGTCATTCATAAAAAGCACACCATCGCTTAAAGTGTGCAGTCTTAACGCTTAGTAGTCAAAATAAAAGCCGAAAAATGACACTTATTAGCGACGTTACTTGTCAAGCGTTAATTACGTAAAAAATGTTCAAATACTGTACGCATAAAGATTTGACGTAGCGACTATATTCGCATAGTTACACGAACTTCTGAGTTAAACGTCCGTATTTGACAGCTTAAAAAGGAAGCAGCCACATGAAAAAACAACTCCGTGTGATTTATGACTTGACAACTATTATTCTAAAAACGGCACTGGGATAAATGCCCAAAAAAAAAAAAAAAAAAGCACGCTCCCACCGGCCGGACCGCTTCACACCAAGTTCACAAAACACTGAAAAACATCGTCCAACTGTCATAAATATGAACTCTTGCTTACCCTTTTTCGTTTATTCGCTCGCCGTCTCGACTGTCTTGACGTTGAATGTAGATATTTTAGTAAAAATTGATGATCGCTCATGTTAACCATTGTTCAGTCTTGACAGCTGAATGTGATTTTACGGAAACTCCCGGCGGTGTTTTTATTGAGGAAGAGGCCAACCGAACTATGCGTGAAAACTTATTCTCACTACAACCTATCCGAGGTGAAAGTGATTGACGTTGACCTCGTCCAATCAGAAGCGAGGAGGTGAGATCTTTTCCTTGGCGACATCCAATTGTCTGGCCAGAAAGGATTCTATGGGCGTGGCCTTCTAGCTGGTTGTTCACTCCAGCCCGTATAGTTTGTGCGAGCAGCAGTTGTGATGCAGTCATAAGACGGCCAGGACGAATTTGGGGCGTATGGGAGTCACATGAAAGGAATGATGCAATGCTTGGCAACCAATTTCTAGCTGGGGATAACACCAGCAGAATCAGAACATGTTTTATTAAAACACTGTTGGCTCTAACAAAAATCTAAAAATATACATATATGCATGGATATCTAATGTCGAAGAATTGTTTTTTTTTTTTTTTTTTCCCCTCCGGAACAGAAAAGCTGAATCGATTTTTTTCACCAAGCGTTTTCAATATGTGTGTGTGTTTTTAAGTGTAATGTGGCCAATCAATTTAGCGCTGACATGGTCGTGACGTGTTTATTAATGAAGTTGTCAACCCCCTCTTTTTTTTTTTTTTTATCTTGACTTCTGATTTAAGTTGTTTGTCTAAAGTTTGTCTGACGTGTTTTACACATATGCTTTATTAAAGCGTAACATTCCGACGGACACTAAATTCAACTAAATAAAAATATGGAAGGCCGTTTCAACATATATTCAAACCACACTTCCATCACTAATCACTATTTAAGTTATAAACAAATAGCATTCCTCAAAGCCAAAATGGCAGGCTTACTACTCGGAATTAAAATGAATAATACCTAAAATGACATCAAGTAAAATAATTAATTAAGGGATAATTTATTTAAAACATAATGTATAGTCTCATTTTTTTTATCTTTAAATTATTCCCATTGATTTTTATTGTTAAGCACTTTGGTAACAGTTGCTATATAAATAAAGTTGATTTGACATGACTTGACTTCAACATAAATTATATTAGACTCTGACTACTCACTTGTATCATTATCTTTGCTTGATATATATAATTTACCACCAGTCATTGTGTGCTCTTTACACACTTGGCCAGTAAATATGAATGATTAACCCTGCTGCAGCACTTGAGTCAAAATAATCCAAATGCAGCAGGAAGGTAGGAAAAGGGCAGGAATAGCTTAGCTTAAGATATTTAAATTAACATAAAAACAAACAAAAAGTTAAAACTCTTTAAAGTTGACGTAAGGTTGTAAGAAAAATGTATTTGTCAAGACAGGCTAATCAAATATTCATTGCTAACTTAATGATTCCTGGATGAAATGACATTTCATGGTAAATGGACTGTATGTCCTATCCTGTCAAGATACTCAAAGCTCTTTACAACACAATCTGTGCTCTCATTTACCCATTCATACAGCACTCTATTAGATCTGTACAAAGACTAATCAGAGCTTTATCACATTCATACACCGATGGGACACACATCGGAGGCAATGAGTGTCACTGTCTTGCCCAGGGACACTTCGGCATGTGACTGCGGGTGGAATCAAACCCCCAACTCTTGCATTGGAGGACGACTGCTCTAACCACTCAGCCACAGCCGCCTCCGCATTTCATCTTCCCAGAAGGGCACTTGCTCCACACCGGACATTTCGGTTCCCTCAAACATCATTCTTACTAAAACAAACTACAATAATTATTCATCTGGAATGATCTTTCATCTACATATCTCCACTGTGTTGTTAATATCTGACAAGAATTATGTGGACAAAAGAAATAAAACCCTTACAAGAATAAATTTTCTTCATTTTAACGTAGAAAGAACGAGACGTATCTGAATATTGGTTGTGGCTAAGCAAATGCTCAGTGTGGTTCTTTTTAACGATAGAATCATTAGTCTATTTGTTTTATATAATTTATTTATTATGATGAACAATTTACAAACAAATCAAGGCAACAAAAAATGTAATACAAATCATCAATTAAATTTCACAGGTTGCGTTATACACATAAAAAAAATATACAAAAAAAATACATAAGGAACAAATGAGGTTTATATCAAATTAAAGTTATTGATCAAAGTATAAAGATGTTGATTAAATTTGCCTTTAACCAACTTGGGAGACTCACTCTTCGTTATATGATGAATGGACTTGCCATATAATTGCCCTTGTACTTGAACTTTCAAACAGCGTGTTGTTGAAGGGTCTGCAGGTGAATCCTGAACACTTTTTACAAACGGACTCTCAGAAAGCACGCTGCTTCGGTCGAAACATTTCACACAGCGCGCGCTCTTTAGCTGCTGCTCCGCGAGAAATCAAAAGGACCGCCCCGACCGAGCGAGCCGTGGCGCGCGCTGGTGGCGCGAGCGGACCACTGCCTCTTCTCTTTAAACGCGAGGCTTTTATTTCCAGCAGATGATGATGAAACTCAGCAGAATTCATTACCCAGTCGGAGAAACTTGTATTCAATATTTCTCCGCCTTGCACGAGCGTTACTTTATCAGTGAGGATCGATTATTATTATTATTATTATTATTATTATTATTATTATTAAATAACTTACCTCAAGTCGTAAAATATATACATAAAAAATAGTTTAATACATGAGCTGATAAAATAAAGTAAAAAGTCCCAACACAGAGCTCAAAGTTCACCAAGGTCACCAAATAACCTGAGGGTCTAAAGCGTTGAAGGTAAACAACAACAACAACAAACAAACAAACAAAAGCACAAAGAAAGTGACAGCTTAAAATTCAGTTTCATCACCTTTGAAGGGACACAAACTCATCGCACACACCAACTGCGCGCGCGTGTGTTGCGTTTCCACGCACAGTGAAACGTGCACGCCTCGCCATGCACAGCCCCATAGCAACAGCGTGGAGCAGCGAATAGAAAGCTGCAGTACTGTCTCTAGGACCCGGGTTAGAGCCTGCAGGAAGCTGCGCAGACACGTCACGACTCGAGTGGCTGTTGCCGAGTAGTTCAGTAGTTTCTTTGCCCCCCCAGCCCCCCATCGTCTGTTTGTTTTGTCAGTCTGCTTTGTGTCATTAAAAAAAATCACTGTTTGCAGCAGCACGTTTAGATTGCCTACATGGACTAATTCACTTTAGTGTTAACAAAGCAAAACAACAACAGATAGATGTGTTCAGTGATTCTGCTCCTTTGTTTCATGGACAGTGTCAAGTGCTCCAAAGTTTTAATGCTTGATGCTTGTCTTCTTGACTGTTTCCCCCTCTAATCAGTGCTTTGACTGTGGGTTTTAACCAATAACAGCTTTTTAGTTTTAGTCTAGTTTTAATGTTTAAATCACATTATGTCTACGAGTTATTAACACCAGGGGAGAAAAGTTAGTTTATAAAGATGGGGGAACAAATGGATGGTGGATTTGAAATGTAACCAACATTTGTCTTTGTGTTCAAACAAAGGAAGTGGGAGTTGTTTGAATCAGAGCTTGACTATTGATTATTTGTTTTATAGGCAGAAAGAGTGAAATTTCAAGCACAACTCCACGCTTCCCTCTGTCTGTCCAGCAGTGCCCTTGGTCACTCCACGCCCAGTTCCTCCCAACACACACACACACACATACACACACGCACCAGCTGTCCTTACTGTAAGTGATGCAATTAATCCTTCGTTGTGTTTTTGTTATCCCAACTTTCCCTTTTTCATCGTGCTTCTTTCCACTCTGTCCTCTCGACAGCCACAAACTCGTACAAATCCACCAATTAAAAAAATAAATTAAATGTATTTATTTATTCCCCTGAGCTTTTGAAAACACTTTAAAGCAACACAGTTGGCTGCATTCTGCCAACCATCTTTTCTCACCAAGGCATCGTCAGAGGGCCATAAGGTGCAGATTTGTTCCTTTTCCTCATCCAGTCAGTCACATCTTGACCAGATCTAACAGCTAACTTGTTGACATTCTTTGTGTTTGGAGCATTAAGACGACTTTGTGGTTAATCTGTTTAGTTTGTTAAACCGCCAAGCCCGTTGCGTATCTTTGCCCCATCTTCCCCTCTTCATTTGCCGCAAGCCTCATTCTGCCCTGCGACTCCGGGCTGCTCGCCCTGTGTTCCTCTGCGTACGTCTGCCCGTCTTTCTGCCTCACAACAGGCTCCTCACCTGTCTACACCCATTCAGGAAAGTCTGTCTGACTTAATTGATGCAGAGCGCCTCTGTGTGATTTTGCTTCTCGGGAAAATCTTTCACCTTTCTGACATCAGCTGTTACTTTTTTTTTTTTTTTTCCTCTCGAGTCTGTTTTATTTCCAGCAGGTCAAAAAAAAAAAAAAAACGGATCTTTCACTGTAGCCGTTTTATATTCAAGGATGATTTGAAATTTATTTAAGGATTTAGATCACGAGATTTTTAGTTTTTCGGAAGCCTAGAGTTCCTTCAGAATCAGGACCACGGGTCGGTGCTGTGATTTCTTCATTTTTTTAAATGTCAGCGGTAAAAACCTGAGGAAAACAACGAGACACGGCGGGCCATTAAACTTTAAATATCTGTCGAATAGGTGCTGGCAGTGAAACACACACTCAGGGTTCCTACAGCGTGTTTTCCTCCCTTTTTTATTTTATTTTATTGTATCAGCATCACAAACACATTTTAGAGCCATCTGTGCTCATTGTTTGTTTCATGATGACTTTAAATCTATTTTCTGTCCAGAGGAGTAAAGGGAGGTGGTACATGCAGGTATTTCTTCTCAAATAGATTTCTTACACACATCTAGAATTAGACCTTCTATAGGAGTTTTAGAAGAGACAGCTGGTTTGTAACGGTGTTGAAATGTGCTTTAACAGAAATGACGGGGCTGACCCAAACTTCTGCTTCCCAGAATAGAAAGACAAATGCAGTAGAACATGATACACTGAAAATAATGTCTCTGGGCTCGTCTGGGCCATTCCTTTCTAAGCTGGAGCGCTGGCTCGTGTTCCCCGTGTGGCAAACTTGATCCGTCTGGTGTGAACAGGACGGCCAGCTTCACCAACCAGAAAGCTGAAGTCTATCAGCACTGCTCTGAATTAAAAACAAGATATTTAGGCACCAATAAAAAAATATCTAGACTTGTTCCCCCTTATATTAGTCCAAAGTACTTAAATCCAGAATGTAGAACGTCTTAAAGTGAATTGTGACCCAAACTTCTGCTCGGTCTCGTTAAATGTCAGTCGTGGCCTTTCTGAACCCGCAGGTTCTGAAGCGTCTGGTTGACCCGCCCGCCTCAAACACCTGATCCTCGCCTGGTCCCGTTATCCGTCAGCCTTCGTCACGAACTCCATCACCTGACTTCAAACACGGGCCGGCTTTTTTGTTTTAATGCTCTTTATAAACCCACGACTGCCAGAAGGATTCGAGCTTGATCTATTTAGTGAGAAAGACGCATCAGAATCCTGATGCATCGAAAACAAAATGTTTTATCAGAATTTCATCTTTTGTTTTATTCACTTGTGTGTAAGAGTGTTTGTTAGTAAAGAACTGGCCCAGTTGTGCAAAAGTGCTTCATGAGACCTGGTGGTAAGCAGGTGGGAGTTACTTCATAGTCGAAACAAGTTTTTAAATAATTTTGACTTCATTATGAGTCACAATGAGTAATTTGTCATAATCTAATGGATTGATGTGATTCAAGAGCAGAGGCAAAGTGATTTTTACAGTTTATTCTGTAAAATTAATTCATGTATTAAAAATTTATTTAGCATCATAAATAAGTGAAAGGGGTTAAAAACTGTCTTATTGCTACACAGATACACACATTCTTTAATCATGAAACGCTTCGTTGTGATTTTAATAATTTTGTTAATGCTATGCTGCCACCTAGTGGCCATGCATCACTACAACAGTTGATTTTTTTGTTTGTTTAAAAATTACGATTACAGTAATACTTTTCAAATTGCTTTTTAACCATCAATGACCTTTAAGTTTACTGCTCATAGCAGATTATTTAGTAAATTTAAACATCACAATACTTATATATTATATAGCATTTAAAATGATACATATAAGTTTTATTCGATTTGACTTTAAAAGAAGAATCTTGTGGAAAAAGAAAACTAAAGAGCCAAGCTTATCACGCTTTTATTTATTGATTAGCTTGAGTGACCACAGATGAACAGCGTAGTTGCAAGCAACGACAAAAGCGGTTTAAGTTTCTCTGTGGCGTTGGGTCTCAGTCAATAATAATAATATAGTTACAAGAGACTGAGGCGAAGAAACGATAAGGTGAACAGGCATATTTACAAGCTTTCCTTCCACATTAGTCTGAAACCCTCAACACGCTCCTGATACAGTAAAGGACAACGGACCACAAGTTTTTTTTTAAAGAGTTGACATCTTTTCTTGTATCATCTAGCAATCCAAATGTGATTTGTTTAATTCAGCCCAAGTTAAAGTACAAATTCACCTTTAGTGTACATCTCCAAAAGGAATGGAATGATTTCCTATGTCAATAAAATTAAAGAGTCCAATCTAAAACTTGACGAGCCCCAACAAGGGACAGCAATCAGTGTCATTCATGTAGAGAATCACAGACATTTTTAAATATCAGTTTGATGCAAGTGAAAGGAAGAGGAATATAAATTGGACATTTTAACAAACATTTGGTCTCCTTTTTGTTTTTCCATCTTCTCAACTTTCTAACATCCCACTTAGTGAAAAAAGGCTGAGGCAGAAGTCGAGAGCAAGAGAGGGACTTCCAGAAAGGACAAGGCTGCACCCCACACCGCTTCCATCTGTGCTCTCCAACCAAATATTAATGTCCGTATTTTCGTCTCTTCTGGAGCGATTGAAATTGCAAACATTTATTTTGAAATCATCTTCATCCTCTGATCAAGTGCTGTAAAGTTCTCTTCAATAGCCACCAGATTTTCCTTCATCGTCTGCTGGACCTGGTGGGGGGAAAAATAAAAAGTTCAACAAGAAGCATTAGATCAGGTGAATTAGAAGTGCAGAAGAGAAAAAACAAAAGCAGCAGATGAAAGAAAAAGAAAGAAAACTTTGTTATAAATGCATGAAAAGGATTAGTTAGAAAACTATCGAGTTTAGATTTAATAAGTTAAGATGGCTGGCTACACAGTAGGCTCGTCACATTACAAATTCAAACTCAGTATGGGTACAAAGAGCTAATGTTTTATAAAAGATGACTTTCTGTTGCTGGTGAGTAAAAAATGAATTTTACTAAAATGCATCAAGTGTAGTGAACCAGTCTAAGTGAATGTATGCCTACATATAGTTAATATGATAGAAAATTATTTAAACGAGTTAATTTCATACTTTCGTGTATAAACAAAAACCTGTAATCCAAAGGAAATATCACAAATTTTAAACATTTGTTGTCAACGATGTCCTCTGTTTCTAAATAATTACTTGCTGTTGAGCACTGTAAAAAATCTGTTACACAAAAATGAGCAGTTTCAACAAGTAACGTATATTCAATACACGTTGCTTGTTCTTCTGACCAGCAGTCTGTCCTCTGGTGTGATCCCTGGACATTTTCAGCATGCAGCTGTCCAGTCTCTCATTAAGAAACCCACTCTTGACCCCTCTGTTCTTCTTGCTAACCACAGGCCAGTCTCTAAACTGACATTTCTTTTGAAAACTCTCGAAAAGATTGTGTACAACCAACTATCGGTATATTTAAAAGAACATTCTCGAGGATTTACAGTCTTACAGTTTTACAGAATCTGCCCTTTTAAAAAGTTTTCAATTACATTTTTAGCAACCGACTGACTGGTGTTGTCCTTTTGCTTTTAGATTCATCAGCTGCTTTTGATACCGTGGACCATAACATCTTACTTTGTTGTTTGAAACCATGGGGGGTGGGGGTGGTGGTTTAGGTCCTACTTAGCCAAGCGCAATTTCTATGTCTGCCTTAGTGATCACGTGTCCACTGCTCCTCTTTTGTGTGGAGTTCCACAGGGCTCAGTCTTAGGCCCCCACCTCTTCACACTGTACCTGCTCCGTCTTGGTTCTATTTTTAGAAAAGACGGGATCCCTTTTATTGTTACGCAGATGATACACAGATATACGTCCCGCTAAAGAAAAAGGACTAACTCCTGGCCCCTCTGTTTTCATGTCAGGAGGACATAAAAACCTGGATGGCTGTGAACTTCTTAATGTTTAATGAGGAAAAGACTGAGGTGATGGTCTTTGGAAGCTCCACTGAGACTCTCAATATACAGTGCCTTGCGAAAGTATTCAGCCCTCTTGAACGTTTCAACCTTTTGCCACATTTCAGGCTTCAAACATAAAGATATAAAATTGTAATTTTTTGTGAAGAATCAACAAGTGGGACCCAAACATGAAGTGGAATGAAATTTATTGGATGTGTCCAAGTTTTTTCAACAAATAAAAAACTGAAAAGTGGGGCGTGCAATATTATTCGGCCCCCTTACTTTCAGTGCAGCAAACTCACTCCAGAAGTTCAGTGAGGATCTATGAATGATCCAATGTTGTCCCAAATGACTGATGATGATAAATAGAATCCACCTGTGTGTAATCAAGTCTCCGTATAAATGCACCTGCTCTGTGATAGTCTCAGGGTTCTGTTCAAAGCGCAGAGAGCATCATGAAGACCAAGGAACACACCAGGCAGATCCGAGATACTGTTGTGGAGAAGTTTAAAGCCGGATTTGGATACAAAAAGATTTCCCAAGCTTTAAACATCACAACAACACTGTGCAAGCAATCATTGAAATGGGAGTATCAGACCACTGCAAATCTACCAAGACCCGGCCGTCCCTCTAAACTTTCATCTCGAACAAGGAGAAGACTGATCAGAGATGCAGCCAAGAGGCCCATGATCACTCTGGATGAACTGCAGAGATCTACAGCTGAGGTGGGAGAGTCTGTCCATAGGACAACAATCAGTCGTACACTGCACAAATCTGGCCTTTATGGAAGAGTGGCAAGAAGAAAGACATTTCTCAAAGATATCCATAAAAAGTGTTGTTTAAAGTTTGCCACAAGCACCTGGGAGACACACCAAACATGTGGAAGAAGGTGCTCTGGTCAGATGAAACCAAAATCCAACTGTTTGGCCACAATGCAAAACGATATGTTTGGCGTAAAAGCAACACAGCTCAGCACCCTGAACACACCATCCCCACTGTCAAACATGGTGGCAGCATCATGGTTTGGGCTTGCTTTTCATCAGCAGGGACAGGTAAGATGGTCAGAATTGATGGGAAGATGGATGGGGCCAAAATGGATGGGGCCAAATACAGGACCATTCTGGAAGAAAACCTGTTTGAGTCTGCAAGAGACCTGAGACTGGGACGGAGATTTATCTTCCAACAAGACAATGATCCAAAACATAAAGCCAAATCTACAATGGAATGGTTCACAAATAAACGTATCCAGGTGTTGGAATGGCCAAGTCAAAGTCCAGACCTGAATCCAATCGAGAATCTGTGGAAAGAGCTGAAGACTGCTGTTCACAAATGCTCTCCATCCAACCTCACTGAGCTCGAGCTGTTTTGCAAGAAAGAATGGGCAAGAATTTCAGTGTCTCCATGTGCAAAACTGATAGAGACACAAGAGACTTGCAGCTGGAACTGCAGCAAAAGGCAGCGCTACAAAGTATTAACGCAAGGGGGCCGAATAATATTGCACGCCCCACTTTTCAGTTTTTTATTTGTTAAAAAAGTTTGACACATCCAATAAATTTCATTCCACTTCAAGATTGTGTCCACTTGTTGTTGATTCTTCACAAAAAAATTAAAATTTTATATCTTTATGTTTGAAGCCTGAAATGTGGCAAAAGGTTGAAAAGTTCAAGGGGGCCGAATACTTTCACAAGGCACTATAGATGTTGGTTCCTTGGCCCAGTTATATCAGGCCAACTGTTACAAACGTGGGGGTCAAAGTCGATGCTGGACTTAAGTTAGAAAACCACATCAGAGCAGTTGTTAAATCTAGTTTTTTCCATCTGAGGCAGCTGGTTAAAGTAAAGCCGGTTCTTTCTCAGCGGCGTTTCGAAACAGTAGTTCACGCCTTTGTGACCACTTGGCTGGACGACTGTAACGCACCCTACACAGGAAACAGTGACTCGTCTATCCGTCAGCTTCAGAGGGTTCAGAATGCTGCTGCACAACTTTTAACTAGCACATGAAAGTTTGACCACATTTCCCCTGTTTTAGCCTCCCTGCACTGGCTGCCCGTACATTTTAGGATTAATTTTTAAATTATTTTATTTGCTTTTAAAGCTCTAACTGGACTTGCCTCGCCCTATCTGTCCGAGTTGCTGCATCCATACACACCATCTCGATCCCTCAGGTCATGTGATCAGCTGCTCCTGAGTGTGCCAAAGACAAAGCGTAAGCTCAGAGGAGGCTGTGCTTTTGCTGTGGCAGCTCCTAAACTGTGGAACGACCTTCCCTTGAACATCAGACAGCCTCTTCCCTGTCTGTTTTTAAATCCCTTCTTAAAACCATCTCTTCTCCCTGGCCCTTGAAACCATCTGAGATGTTGACTTTTAATCATTTGAATCATTCTTTCTTATCTGATTGTATGATTGTTTTATTACATGTACAGCACTTTGGTCTGATTGGGGTATGTAAAGTGCTCTAAATAAAGTTGTTATAGTATGGTATGCTTTTTTAAAACCACACTGTAAACTTGGTACCTGTGTTAGCAGAGTGGTGTTGTCTTTCAGAGAGTTGTTGATCATCTGCTGAGTTGTGTCCAGGTGAGTCAGCAGCTGGCCAAACTGCATGGCTGCCACATAAATGAGACAGAAGGGTAAGAACAGAAAATGTCAAGTCCTGTTCAATAAAGAAAGGGATGAGTAAATCTTGTGTGAAAATGGAAAAGGAAAAAGGATTTGTCTAAATCCAGCAGAGTGAAGATAACTTCTGCTTTAAACTGTGACAAATTAATTCAAAGAGAAGTAGGATATTAATTTACATTTTCTAGCTCCAGAGAACCAATATCAATTAAATCTGATACCAACGTTTTGATTTCATTGGCTCAAATAAAGAAGAAAATGTAATAATAAATAATGCACATTTTCATCTCCCAAAGAGGATGTTTACATTTGGCAAGATTTGGCCAAATTTTGTTACAATGCCAACATTTCTCTCTCAGAGATTATTCTGCCCCGTCTTATTAAAGAGGACATGGATTAGGCTCATTCTATTATCTGCATGGATACCATTTTCTTTTAGTTTTAATCTTTTGTCTGACTCGAAATCTCCCATTGTGGATGCAAATCTTTAAGACCAAGCATTTCATCCCAGATGCCTGAAACGTGAGCAGCGTTTACACCCTGTTTTGATCTGTACCAAGTTCTTGCATATTTAGTCATTGAGATACGCTTTTGTACTCCACTAACCTACATAAGTCTCTCCTTGAATTCCCATGGGTGTGGTTTCAAGGTTTTTCTCTGCTCACATGAAATATTAGAACACCAGGCAATAACAAGTTCACAGCTTTGGGCTTTTTAGAGTAAAAAATTCCCCCAGCTGTAATAAAGTTACAATATTCAAAATACAAATGAACACATTAACGAAGCATGTGTATTTGATATTACAAGACTAAATATATTCCTGTAATATTTATTTAATTGTTTTAAAGCCTTGCTGTATGTGAAAGGACGGAGCAGATGTTTGACTGCCGACCTGTCAATCACTTCCTGCGTCTCACCTTGCTCATGCAGCTCCTTCACAGCGACGAGCCTCTGCACCACCTGAGGTACAGAAGTGGACACAGCGTCCCACTTCTGCACCACGTCGTACAGCTGCGACACCTGACACATACGAGTACAGATGAACAGAAATGCACACATCTCCATCTGCTATTAGTGTTGGGAACAGGACTTGGTTATTTAGTTTAGCGTCATCTACAGAGCTTTTTTTTGTTGTTTTACTTGGGGACAAAATTTCACTCTGCTTTGCATAGGAGTCACTAATAGTTACCTCAGCTACAGATCTTAAGTTATATTTTTTGTCTGACCTAAATACAGAGTAGTAATTTGCTGCCACACTCTGTCATCTGCATGATAATGTTATGTTAATAATCTGAGACTTAATAAGGCACGATCATGTGAAAGCCTTCCTGGTCATCTGAACATATACAAAAGTCACTTTTAGAGTAAAACTTGTCCAATTAGGCAAAGCAGATCACTTTTTATCACCTGCTCCAAAGTCAGAGCAGAACAAGAAAGCTGAGGGTAAAAAAAAAAACCTTAGTGTGAGAAAAGATTTCTGCTGTTTGCTTAACATCCATTTAGCTTACACTTCTGTAACATGTTTTAGCATTTGGGTTACCATACTTTTTACAAGTAAACATTTAATTTAAATATTTCAGTGCTGAACAAACTGCTCACGCTGACTGGAGATTCAGATTATACCATCGGCTCATTCAGCTTCAATGATAAGATAAAAGAACGCACATAGTTTGAAACAGCTGTCCCATTAGTTGGCAGCACGATGGCTCAGTGGTTAGCACTGTTGCTTCACAGAAATAAGGTCCTGGATTTAATTTCCAGTTGGACCTGGGGTCTTTCTGTGTGGAGTTTGCATGTTCTTCTCGTGCTTGCGTGGTGTGTGTACACAGTACAATTAACATTAAGGAATAAACTACAGTATCTAAAATATGTATACAATGAACATGTGCTGCCCTCTACTGGATCTTTCATGTAAATCACTTTAAAACATCCATCCATTATCTTTACCCGCTTCTTACTTTTCGAGTCTCGGGGGTCACTGGTGCCGGGATTTGAACCAGCTGAGAGGCAACAGCTCTACAAACTGAGCCACAGAATGTAAAAAAATGGGGTTAAATAATAGTAATTTGACTGATTAAAAACACAGATGGTTAAAACAATCACAGATCTGGTGGTTGTCTTCCTTCTCTGAGTTGGAGGAAAACCCTGACAGCAGCTTAAGTTTTGGCTGCTTCATCAGGTTTGGATTAAGTCTTTAAAGTTGCAGATTTAAGCCAGAGTAAAAACAGATCATGTGCTTCCATCACCCTGATTGTTTTGCTGAAGTTTTCAGTATCAGCCTGTAGACAGAGTTTTTATTTACATAATACATTTGTAACCCAGCTATACCCTGGAGTTATGCAACACAAATGCATGTGTAGGGATTACAAACCTTGTTTTGTGTTTCAGCATCTTCAATCGCTGACTTGTGTTTTGCAATCTCATTCATCTTCCCAAGGACACTCTAGAAGAGAAAGATAAATTATGAGATGTAGGAAGGAAAAGAAACAAGTAAACTGACTGCTGCTTTAATGAATAATACTAATAATGTCCCTGTTGGCAGCATATGTTGTAATTATTCTCTGTAAATCTCAAAAATTATCCCCTTTAAAGAAGCAAACTTACATTTTTGTTCAACCCAAATTATGACAAAATCTGGCCTTTTCAGGGGGTAAGTTGCAGGTTGAGTGTTTTTAATCACTGCAGAGTGGGTTTGCAATAAAGGAATGGGAGAATGCTAAACAGAATTCACTGAAATCTTCTGCCAGCAGTTGACATCCAGTGAGTCAGACTGCAGACGGCCAAACAACATGGACATGTTGGCAAACTGATCTGCATGGAGCCACAGTAACATGACGGCTGGATACAATATAAGTATGATGCTCTTTGATGCACAGCTGGTCTCATCTTTGCAGCATAAAAACAACTCCCTCCATGTTTACTCTCCACCCATTTCATAGCTACAGAGCAATAAACTACCTCCAAAAACACTTTGCAGTAAATTACAAACCGGATTCCAAAAAAGTTGGGACACTAAACAAATTGTGAATGTCAATATTTTATTTGTAATACAACATAGATGACAGATCAAAAGTTTAATCTGAGTAAATGTAACATTTTAAAGGAAAAATACGTTGATTCAAAATTTCACAGTGTCAACAAATCCCAAAAAAGTTGGGACAAGTAGCAATAAGTGGCTGGAAAAAGGAAATTGAGCATAAAACAAACAGCTGGAAGACCAATTAACACTAATTAGGTCAATTGACAACATGATTGGGTATAAAAAGAGCTTCTCAGAGTGTCGGTGTCTGTCAGAAGCCAAGATGGTAAGAGGATCACCAATTCCACCATTGTTGCGCAGAAAGATAGTGCAGCAATACCAGAATGGTGTTACCCAGCGTAAAATAGCAAAGACTTTTAAGTTATCATCATCAGCCGTGCATAACATCATCAAAAGATTCAGAGAATCTGGAACAATCGCTGTGCGTAAGGCTCAAGGCCATAAAACTCTACTGGATGCTCGTGATCTCCGGGCCCTTAAATGTCACTGCACCTCAAACAGGAATGCCACTGTCAAGGAAATAACAGACTGGGCTCAGGAATACTTCCAGAAAGCATTGTCAGTGAACACAATCCACCGTGCCATCCGCCGTTGCCAGCTGAAACTCTACAGTGCAAAGAGGAAGCCATTTCTAAGCAAGCTCCACAAGCTCAGACGTTTGCACTGGGCCAGGGGTCATTTAAAATGGAGTGTGGCAAAATGGAAGACTGTTCTGTGGTCAGATGAGTCACGATTTGAAGTTCTTTATGGAACACTGGGACGCTATGTCATCCGGACCAGAGAGGACAAGGATAGCCCAAGTTGTTATCAACGCTCCGTTCAGAAGCCTGCATCACTGATGGTATGGGGTTGCATGAGCGCTTGTGGCATGGGCAGCTTGCATGTCTGGAAAGGCACCATTAATGCAGAGAACTATGTTCAGGTTCTAGAACAACATATGCTCCCATCTAGACGTCATCTCTTTCAGGGAAGACCCTGCATTTTTCAACATGATAATGTCAGACCACACTCTGCAGCAATCACAACATCATGGCTACGTAGGAGAAAGATCCGGGTACTGAAATGGCCAGCCTGCAGTCCAGATCTTTCACCTATAGAGAACATTTGGCGCATCATAAAGAGGAAGGTGCAACAAAGAAGGCCCAAGACATGAACGGGAGAGCATTCCTATTTCTAAACTTGAGAAACTGGTCTCCTCTGTCCCCAGACGTCTGTTGAGTGTTGTAAGAAGAAGGGGGGATGCCACACAGTGGTAAAAATGGACTTGTCCCAACTTTTTTGGGATTTGTTGACGCCATGAAATTTGGAAACAACAGATTTTTCCCTTAAAATTATACATTCTCCCAGTTTAAACTTTTGATCTGTGATTTGTGTTCTATTCTGAATAAAATATTAGATGTTGGCACCTACACATCATTGCATTCAGTTTTTATTCACAATTTGTTTAGTGTCCCAACTTTTTTGGAATCCGGTTTGTAGATCATTGCAAAGTTGGTTGGTTTTAGTAATTCAGCTCAAGAGTAAAACTTATACAGGTTCATTACACACAGAGATAAACATTTGAAGAGTTTACTTCTGTTAATTTTAATGTGTATGGCTTAAAGCGAGCGAATGCAAACATGAAATTCATTTAATAGAATGTTATCTAATAAAACTAATTTAAAAAATGATTTTTAGACAGGAATATCAGTCCACTGAAAAGTATGGTCACATTGTATGCACTCAATACATGGCTGGGGTTCCTTTTGCATGAATTACATCATTGTGGTGTGACATGAAGCCATTCAGCCTGTGGCACTGTGAAAATGATGTTTCTTAAAATCTAGGCTGTGTATAGAGTTGGTACCTGCAGTCTTGCCTCCACTTGATCCAGAGTAGCAGAGTCCAGTGCACTGACTCTCGCCTGCAGGAGCTCGATGGTGTCCTGTGCAAAAGACACACATTCACACAGCTGCCTAAACTTAAAAAAAAAAATGTATTCTTGTTTCTACTACTGACAAGAACTTGTGACTTTGCTAAAGAATGACTCATTTTCTGCAGCTTACCAGTCACAAAAACAGACTAACAGCTTCATAAACAAAATAATTTCTCACCATCAAACTGGCTCCTTGTACACCAGCATTCAAAGGTCCCTACAATATAAATAGAGAGCTGGAATAAAACAAAGCCTTCTACATAAAAACTTTAATTTTCTTTTCAGGTTCTCCTTGTGACACAGCAGCAGTAAAAAAAATAAAAATAAAATCAAACCATCATGGTTAAAATGTAGAGGAGGAAAAACAGATCTATATTTTTTAGGTAGGAAAGGTAAACAAAGTATTTTGAGACAGTGTGTGTAACGTCTGAGTAGCTCAGTGTGTACCTGCTTGTCTGATCCTGAGCCAACAGCCAACTCCAACTGAGCCAGACGCTTCTCCAGTTCTGCCATCTACAGGGGTGAAACAAACAGTGAGAACAGCACCCCTCATGGCTCACAGATGCCTTTCCTCCATTCTTTATCCTGTTTATTGTCTTTAAATATTCTGACATTTGTCCATAAGAATAATGAAAACAAACAGAGAACTCATGATTATAACAGTTGCCCCTGCTGTCTCAATCTCCACGTTACCTTGGCAGACTCGTTGAATTTTTCCTGCTCTGGTCTGCTGTGTAACTCATAGAGCACCACTCCATCTGGACCTTTTGTTGAAGAAGTGGGTTTGACATCTACTGCAGAGCTGCCACGGCTGCTCTTAGCCACCTCCAGCTGGGTGAGCAGACGCCTGCAGGAAGGAGGGAGATGAAGACAAAATTATACAGTACATTCAACTGTTATGTGCCTCATGTGATTCTAGGGTCTGGATACTTTATTACTCCTAATCTATTTAGGAACTGTTTACTTTTTTTAATCAAAGGGGAGCTTGAGATGCTTTAAAATAAAATGGGACTGCACTTTAATCCTTTTGGTATTCTTTTATTTGATCATTATTCAGCTCTACTCGTCTGTGTCAGCTGGGCTTTGACATTAGGGGTGAGCAGTGGTTTTCAAATATTAGAAATCTAGTTCAAATAAACAAATTTGAGGATTTAATGTGACCATCACGATCTTTATTAACACATGGTGTGAAGAAACTGTCAATATCCTCTAATGAGAAACAATAAAGCAAAACACTTGAGGACGTCCCTCTATTTCTGTCCTCTATGTTCATTCTAATGTTTTAAAATTTAATTTTCTATTTTTATCTGTTAATAATAGCCATAGGTAAACTAGTCCATAGAACAATGCATTACAATAAAAAAGGACAAATTTGCTTCAAACCATTACTGTATTTTTCACCCTATAAGTCGCGTTTTTTTTGCATAATTTGCATGCCCTGCAACTTATACGCTGAAGCGACGTATTTATGGATTTTTCCCATATTTATAAACCAATTTTCAGCTAAGATATGACCGTTTTCATTCATTCTGACTGAAAATATTGAACACTACCATTTTCAGCTACTAGATGGCAGCAAAGTAGAATGGCATGCCGTTGTATCATGTAATAGGTATAAGTGGCTATTAATGACACAATCGGCATGCCACAGTCTGCCGCCTTCGTTCTGCTTGCTTGGAGCAACCGTCAAATCAGCTTCATTTTGCTGCACCGCCCCGGTGAAATGCAGCTAATTTGACCATTGAAGTGCATTAATTAAGTAAAAGATCAACAGAGACACACCTTTACTATAAGGTTGAGCAAACAATTGTTTTAGATGTTTATCTAGTTAAATTTTGAAGAAACGTGCAGCGACTCGTCCCTCTGCGCATTCCTACGTCCGCGTATCAGCTTTTGAAATGCAGCTGATTTGACCTTCAAAGTGCATTTATTAAGCAAACGTTAGACGGAGACACACCTTTACTATAATTTCGAGCAAACAAATAATTTCTTTTAAGTGTTAATCTTGTTAAATTCTTGTTAAAGTCCTCCCGTGGCTACCGTTTGGCAGCCAATGGATTTTTGGCACAACACTGACCCACATTTCCGGGTTGTCAGCAGTGACGCATAATAGATGTGACGTATACAGCGAAGCAACATATTTATGGATTTTTCCACTTTATTAGACATATTTGGACTGATGGCACTTATAACGCGGAGCAAAGTGTACGACGAAAAACGTGGTAAAACTAAACATGCTTCATTTTAATTCCCAGTTCTGCTAAATTGAAAACATTACTTGAAATGTGTTTGACAGTTCTCTAAGAAAACCTTGTCCTGTCAGTGTCAGCTCACCTGGCTAGTGCTCCATCTGGATCAGCCAGATTGATGTGAGCCTGTGGCCCCAGCAGTGAATCCAGATGAGCGGACACCAGCTGCTGTTTGAGCTGCGCCGCCTGCTGGGCAAGAACCACCGGAGTGAGGCGCTCCTCTGAAGTACTCTCTTTTGCAGCAGCCTGGAAAGTAAAGTAGGACATAAAACTACCATAACTACCACACTTCTGGTTCTGGTACAAAATGAACGTTTACAGTGTTCAATCCTGCTAAACTGAACTCTTTTTGACAAGATTTGTCCTGATAGAGGGCAACACTTGGAGGATAGCTCGTGCTTTAATGAGGTACTTTATTACTTTTAAGTTACTGATGACACAAAGCTGTTACGCCCATCTGCAGACTTGTATATTATGCAGTCCTGATCTGCATGACCTCAAATCAAAGGACGCCTAAAAGTGCCAGAACACAGTCTGAATTGTAATTCAGTATTGGAAGGACATGGCAAACACTGCTGTTTGTGTAACTAAATTAATGACAAGTAAAGGTTAATTAGTGTCTTCCTGATGGCGAGCTTGATAGTCTGAGAATAAAACTCAATTTGTTCTGATTAAATCTCAACTCGAGTATGAACATAAAGCTTCAGTGACTGCACAGGGCAGAACTGTGGGTCGAACTGTCACCTTGAAATTTTAACTAGCTAAATATGTTTTAAAGAACAGACACATGATTACAAGGTTTAAAAATCATGTAGAGGATAATCCAAAGGTGAAGTGTCTTTAACTTTAACACAGAGGCATTAAGATTTAAGATTCAATTACGTTGCATGTTACACACCTGGATGGTGTCCACATCCTGAATGAGTTCTTGGATCTCATTAACAAGCCGCTGATACTTCTGCTGAGGCGTCTCCTTCACGCCACAACCTTCTCCAAGCTTAAAAGGAGAAATGTTTGAAGATTAAACAACAACCATTTCCTCTTTCACTTTACTGAAAAACACGGAGCAAAATTAAAAAAAGTGCTATGTATTAAAATAGATATCCTACAAAGATAATTCTAAATAATGGGGAGGGGGGGTGGGGGGTTCCCCTAACAGAATGTACTTACAATTTCAAATTCTCCTGACTCGTAGCCCGTCCTTCTACTTCTACTGATTTTGTCTGAGAAGTCTGTGGAAAACAGATAAAGCCTCTCAGAAGGAGAATCAGAGAATTAATGCTGACTGGTAAGGATGCTCATCCACAAGTCACAACATTAACAAAAGGCCCTTAAATTTATATTTTATTGTGATTTATTCTCTTATTTCACAAGTTAAATAATTATTTTTTAACTATGCCTAACAAATCACAGAAAACAGATGCCACTTTCATAAAAGCATAAGAGCCGAAGTGCATGACAAAGAAAAGAAAAAAACAACACTTAGTTGTGCTTTGGACACCTTTACAATTTCAAGATATATTTAAAAATCCTCTACATGATATCCACTTTAAATATGCAGACAAAAGAGTAAAAACTTGAGTATCCAGTGGAAACTGACCAAGTCCCTTGGTGCTGACATGTTTGTCTTTGAACTTGTCATATGCTGCATTGGGGTTGACAACAATCCTCTCCACACTGTCGCTGCAAAGCTCCTCCTGTCATAGAAACACCCAGAAATAAAGTCAAAATAACAGACTACAAATAAATGACGGCAAAGTTATCAACAAAAACAAAATGTGGATAACTGAATCAGTGCATTTCAGAGCCCAAAATATACACTTCAAATATAATAAATACAAGTTGATAAGACAAGAAAACTGATGTTTGAAGATTAAGGGACAAATTAGGTGAATTAAGGTCAAATGTCTTCACAAATAAAAAGCAACTGCTATAAATTATTAAAATGTGTAAGAGCTTCCCAATCATCACGAGTGAGTCTTAGGAAGAACCAAAATGATTTCAACATTACAATCTGAATTAGGCCAGAGATCAAGGAGAAAAATACACATATCAATAACTTACTTTAGAATAACTCTTAAAACCAACTTTGAAAATGTGTAACTTTTAGATTAATCCATGATAAAATAAAGTTAAATGAAAGGATAAAACAATCATAGCTGAAGGACAATCACACTTGGGCCTGTCACGATAACAAATTTTGTTGGCCGATTAATTCTCAGAAATTATTGCGATAAACGATAATATTGTTTGAAATTTGACAATTTGTAATTAATTATTGTCAAATTTAATAAGAAATGTTGGTTAATTTTTGTGTGTACTGGTGGTACCTTTTATAGACCACTGGATGGCAGTATAAGACTGTTTGAACTGAAGGATGGATGGTGAGGGAGCACCTTGTCTCTAAAAAAAAAAAAAAAAAAAAAAAATGGGAGGGAGGCCCCTTGACGTGACATGGGCTGTCCCAGATCCTGTTTTTCAGTTCTCAAAATGGCGGACGCTCAGTATGGTTTGAGCTCTTTAGCATAGCATTTTTCACACAAAGCTTTTAACAAAAAAATAATTTAACAAATTTTCAACTTTTTTTTTGCAGAAAAAAAAACAACTTTTTAGATGAAGGCACAGATTTCAAATGTGAATTTTGGAGCTTTGACAAGATGGAGTTGTTTTTTTTCTCCTTGAGGTCCACCAGTTAGCTTAGCTCGTAGTTTAGCTTCTCAGCTTAGCTGCTTTTAATGACCCAAAAACACGATTTTGGACAGTTAAAACAGACTTTGAAGAGAAAAGAGAAAGGGAGGGGTCAGTGAAGAGCACCATAGTTGAGACTTTTGTCATCCAGTGTCTTCAGCAGAAAGAGAGAGATGAAGAAAGGATAAAGCTGATAAAAGCAAATGAGGTTGATAATTTTAATTTATCATGCAATTAATTGATTTATTGTTTATCGCGACAGGCCTAATCACACACTCTAAATTACATCTAATGCTTAAAGGAGCACAAAAAGTTAGCAATACTCATTTGATCAAAAGTTCCTAGCGATTAATTAGAGTGAACTATATTAAGATTAAAACACCAGTAACAAAAATGAATGATGTGTGTATAAATTTGGATAAGAATAGGCACAAAAAACAAACAAGTCCACAGATGTCGGGAGGAGGAGAAGGAAGAGGGGAGTTAGCTAGGCTCTTACCAGCTCCTTGGGTTTCCAAAGAGAGTTAAAGAAAATGGCAGAGCAAAAGGGAGAGAAAAAGAAGGGGGAGAGAGAGACAACACAGATTAATGTGGTTATCACATGCCATGCACACAACAGGAACACTTGACCAGGGTTTGGGGAAGATAAGAAAGAAAGAAGTGTACTCAGAGTTGCAGCTACAAACCCTGAAGACACTCAAAGAGTTTCCAGTTCTTTCCTTCTTCACTCATTTAGGGGGTCAAGATGGTTCAATAACACCACAGAAGTTTCTTTCTCTTTGGATGCCACACTCATGATCATCATAAAGAAATTCACATCTAATGAGGGACTAAAGTGGATCTCATGTCATAAAGAAGTTAGTAAATAAAAAGCATAAAAAATCTTTTAAAATGATTTCTTAAGTCCTCAGTAAGTAATTCAGTTAGTTTGCTATTAAGAAAATGTTTTAACAAAATCCATTGGACTCGAAACTAAGCAGGAAATGACCTGAATATAAGTAAGTGTTGTGCAGTGATTGACTTTAAACATACACAAACGTATCAATGGTAACCTAAAAAGGTCCACATTAGAAAAATGGGACCAAATAAATTATGAGTGCTGCAATAAAACAGCGGGCGATACAGAATTAAATATACCATAGATTGATCCAATTTATAACCTGCACAGATACAATCTGTTGAATGATGTAGAAGACACTGATCAATAAAACATTATGGAAGAACATTTTAAAGTAAAGTATCAGGCATACCCAGAAAATAAAGTCAAACAAAAATAAGCTTATGCTATGGCATAGCAGGAGAAAGAAATACCAGTGCCATAGATGAAGCTTATTTTTGTCTGAGCACATTCACAAAAAACAGGAAAAGGAGGGTGAATGGCACAAATTGACAACATATTTTTGTCTTCATTACTTTTTGTGAGGTATTAATTGAAAACTCCTAAAAGGTGTCATTTGCAGGTAATTCCATATTGTACAAATTTGCTTTATTCGCCTTGCTAAAGGTGACATGCAATGACCAAGCTAGAACTTATGACTGTTAAGAATCCTTTAATGGTTTAGTCAAGCATAGTTTTATTAGTAATAACGCAGGTGTTAAAATATGAGTAAGGTTAAAACAGGAAATATCTAAACTGAGCACATTTCCACATTTGTGTCTGAGCTTCACACACAGATGCACACAAAAACAGTCAGTGCTGCTGAAGATCCATCAACATCATGGCAAATGTTGAAATGAAGAGTACAAGTAGAAAGCGGAAAATCCATTTCTTGCACATCAAAACAATGTTATATATGTTATATGACTTGCTTGGCAAAAAAAAAAAAAAAAAAAGACTACACCAGCAATCTGGTTTTTAACTCATCCCACTCAATTGGAAAAGGTTTGTATGAGTAAAATAAAATGCATGCATTAAACTGTCTAAGAAAAAAATATGGATCAAGTCTTACTTGTACAAACTATGGTCCCGGGAGGGGTAGGGTTGTGTCAAAACAGGGACAAGGGAATGGGAAGAATAGTGAAAACATGCAAGTTAGGGTTCACTCAGCTGGTCAGCAAATACCCCAGATATGATGAGCTAGATCAGACCGGAACCCCTTTTAAACACATTCAGGTTACTTAGAAGTAGAACTAGACCTTCTTATTTATTTTATCTTTCTCCCAAAAATGAGAAAGCTGTAAGACATTTCTGAGGGTCACAAGCGATCACCATGGCATTGAACAAGCAGCTAGCATTGTCAAGCTTGTAAATATTTGGATGAGACATATTTAAAGGAAGAACTCTGTTAAATAGGAAGGAAATGTGGTATTTTCTGTATTTGCTTAGCCATGTCATATTAAAGTTAGTAACACCATATATTACACTTCACTACAAACCAGTAGTCAGTAATGTAACTAGACAAGAAAAGAATAATTGCCTGATTAGGTATTGTACAGAATCGGACATGCAGTAAAGTACAATGAAGGTATCAGTATTTTAAGTAAAAACACAGTTAGCTCATCGGCTAGCAGCAGAACAAACCTACAAATTTAGTGACTACAAAACGTCAACCTACCGACTCAAACTGAGCCTGGTCATCCTCCGGAAGGTCTCCCGTCTCGTACACGTCTGGCTCGTTAAAAGCCTATTGAAAAAAAAAAATGTTTATGACTTATTATGCTAGCTTGGCCAACGCCCCGGCCCATTCAATAACACCAACCAACTGCTAACTATTGTCTCTTGTGTGGTTGTATCACATAACAAGCAATAATTGAACAGTTGCAACTAAAAAGCCGCAGTTATAATGAAAATGCGCAATGTTTGCAAACAATAACAGCAACAAAAACTACAGCACTGATGTTAGCTAGCGTTGCCACATAGCAGACTAGCTATAATATCTGCTAGCGTTAGCCACTTACAATTCCAGGTAAGTTTGCGTATTTAGGATCAGCCATTGTCAACGGGAAGCAATAATACGATAAACAAAACACAATAAAATACAACGGCGTTCTAAAAAATATCCAAATTATCGATGCGCCGTGTGGGATAAGGACAAAGCTAACGATGGACGGGCCAGCACACTCAGCCGGCGGAGATTTGCAGGGTGATGTGGTCACTAGCTTGATTTGACAGCGGGTGTGTTCGGTTTATTCACAGAGTGTCACGTGGGCGGTGCAGTGAACGCAGCATCCGTAGGCAGCAGCAATGGTAAATACTTTGACGGCTATCAAATAGCACAAAACAAACAAACCTAAAGCCGTCAAGCGTCATCACGCTCGTGTTTCGTTTATCCAATAGAATTTTAAATAGTCTAACACACACTTAATGGTGTTGACGTTCTCTGTACAAAAACAGTTGGGTTGTTAAAGTAGGCTACCTTATAATTTATGTTTTTAAAGTGCTTTACCCTTCAGTTTCTCTCTTCTACTGTTGCGACAACAGCGACATAACTCGCAACTTGGCGTGGTATTTGTTTTACGCCGGATGCCCTTCCTGACGCAGGCTGGGCTCGAACCTGCAACCTCAGGATTGCAAGACCACCGATTCACCATAGTTCATAATTACCTGTATAAATAAAGTTTGAATGAATACTATACTGTAAATGTAATGATGATGAATTTTGACTGAGAAGTCACATGAGGGCGCCAAACGTACGAGTGAATCAAAGAACCAAAGATGGACAACTAGAAGAAGATGATTCACTTTGTGTTGTTTTTACTCTCTATAATTTAAGTTAGTTGTTAGGTATTCCAAAATAAATGGCTGAGAGGAAGATATCTATAATTTTATTACCTCCACACGCAAAATGTTCAAGCGTTTAATGTGTCAAAGGAAAGCATACTTATTGATATATTTTGCCCAAAACTTTTAGAAATGTCTTTAAGTTTGTTCGCTTTAAATTAAAACAATTGTGACAACAAAGGTTGTTCTAATCTGTTTACTGATCTTTGTGTTAGTTAATTAAGTGCATGTTTTCATTCATTTTAGAGCAACTTCATTTTACATTACCTTTTGTTACATATAACTAGTTGTGTTAAAAAAACAACAACAACTTGTTTTACAGTTCTCTTTACAAGTTTGTTTGAAAAAGTTGGATTTGTTTTGTGCAATTTTCAGAATAATTCCAGAAAATTCCAGAATTGTTTTCTATTTTTTCCTAGACTGTGTCACCAACTTTGATAAGTTGTATTTAAAAAAAATGGAGGAAGTCTGACAAAAAAAATCAGATAATAAATTTAATAAACTTATTGACCCAAATACACTAAATATATTGATGTCTGCTATATTAATCCTACAAACTGTGCTGCAGGTATCGCAATGCAGTTCATTAGTAAACTGTTTCTCTAAAGGATTTGCAGGAAAAAAACATCTAAACTATTTGACTTACACTGTTTTGCAAAACATATGGTCATAACAGCCAGACAAGTGCAGTCAGAAAAAGAGAGATCTGTCCTCAATAACTAATATATCCCAAAAATGATCAAACCAGACTTTTAATACTTGTTATATGAGAACAATTTCAGCTTTTAGTTAATTTTTTTGTAGCACTAATTCACAACAAAAGTAATCTCAAGACACTATACAAAAGAAGAAAAAAAACAAGTCCAAATCATAAATATGACTAAAATCCAATCATAATTTGTCTGAAATTCATAAATTCACATGCATTATGCTAATTAGTAAACTTAGCAGATCTTCACTTGTTTGCAATTTCTCATTCTGAGCAGCAGGCGACCATGGAAAAATTCAGATTTCTGTTTAACAGGAAGAAACCTTCAGGATGGGTGGTCACCTGGCTCCAATGGATGGGAGTTAAGAGGACAGGAAAAAGATGTATGGACAAACATCAAGTGGCCATGGAGCAGTTTCTGTGGGTAGAAAAAACTTAGGAAAACTAACAGATTTATCTGCAGCAAAACTGCATGCACAGTCATGGAGAGTAGAGCAAACAGGGGCATCTCATCTCAGAAGCTGCAGCCTTCTACACTTCTGTCCATCTTTATGATGGCTGTATGCAAAGTTCATTGTACTTCACTGTGCAAGGATGATAAAAGCATTCTGATTCTGAAGTAAAGACAGCAGCGGAGTGCAGAAATGTGCAGTTTCTCCTGCCAGAGTCTAAGCTTACAGGAGCACAACTAAGGGATAACTCAGGAAACCCAAACTGGCTCTTTATCAAAAAAGACAGCCTTATGCCTAATTTTAAAAGTAGACAAAGCGTCAGCCTCGTGGACAGAAACTGGAAGGTTCCACAAGAGAGAAGCCTTATAACTGAAAGCCTCCCATTCTACTTTTATAAACTCTATAGGGACCACAAGTAAACCTGCAGCCTGAGAGCCAAGATATTTAATCCAAGATGGAGTTGATTAAATTCCACTCAAGCGTTAACATTAGACAAGAGTGAAGCTAAACTTGGATGCAAAAAAAAAAAAAAAAATCGATGCACGGTTTCAAGCACATTTTATTATAGAGGCCATTACTGGAGCTAAACAACGGGCAGAGTGGGAGCTCCTCTCGGTGTGTGCTGATGGCTCCGTGATGCTGATGAGAGAGGATGTGAGGCGCGTCTCCCGCACGCCCCGCCTCCATTCAGAGGGCAGTGATGCAAGGCATGCCTCGGAGAAACCCGCAACCATTCAGACACACCGGACCCCTTCGGACTCCTCGGTTACACCTCTCCTTATGTGCACGCTTCGGTTTGAGGACATTCCTAACAGAGAAGCCCTCTACTTATTTTGCATTTGTTTCATATTTATTTGATGGTTTCTGGATCTTGAAGCTCAAAGTCCATTCATTCAAATGCTTCGCCCGCCGGTGTCGCTTTGCATGTGGGAATCGTAGCCGGCTCTTTGCGTGCTCAAGTGAAGCGGCTGGATTGTATTTCTTCCCATTTGTGGACGCGCATCACTTTTTATCCCCTCCACGATGTCTGACATGAACGCTGAATGCAACATCAAGGTGTTGTGCCGCTTCCGCCCACTGAACCAGTCGGAAATCATCCGCGGAGATAAGTTTATCCCAATATTCCAGGGAGAAGACACTGTCATCTTCGGGGTAAGTTGTTTCCGGTGATTTCTTTCCTTTCTCTCAGGAGATGCTTTACACTGCTGTCTCATCAGAAACTGGATCAAACTCCATCGATACTATCAGTTTGATCAGGAAGCAACAGTCAGCTGGTTCTGCTGCAGCTCCACGTTTCATCTGCAAATCCAAAATTGGATAAAAATAGTCATTCAAAGTCATATTTGAATGAGTAAAATTTATGAGCTTAATGGTTTTGGAGTTTTACATTAAAGCTGCATGAATATTATTAAAAGAAGATTAAAAAAAAAAACCTTTATCATCAGTGAAATCTGTCTGGACCCCACCTCTCTGATCGTATGGTTCATTATTTGCTCGTCCTTCATATCGATCCTCTGGGTGTTGGTGAGATACCTGCAGGATAATTGATTCCCTTAATGCTTTAATGTACTGGTGAATTAGCAGGTGATGCAGATCTAACTAGACTCTTAATTATGCTCTGTGGGTTGCTCCTGAGCAGTAAATGGCTTCTGGCTTTGTTTCAACACAATCTGAATAAAAGCTGATGATAAGCAGCAGCGCTTGTGAGCTGTACTGGAAATGAAGCCAAGCTATAGGATGTTTATTCGTCTGATGGACGTGCACCTGAGGCTGAGGCTAACAGTGCAATTGGGATTCCACACCAGTGACATTTCAGCCAAATTAACTGGTTCTGAGAAGATTACTGCAGTCTAAATGCAAATCTTGCCACATTTATATGAATTTGTGTTTGCAGAAAGGCATGCATGCATGCATATAGCAGAGTGTTATTATGTGCACACATAACCAGAACATTTTAGAAATCATGCACGTTATTTTGGCCCAAGGGCTGACTTCTAGTGATGATTGGGGCAGCAGAAAATCCTTATCAGCTTACTCTATTTTCTCTCTTTCTCTCACTCTCTCTGTCTCTCTCTCACACACTGAAATGCATCGCAGTATGAGGAAGGTTTTCATGCTTGACTGATCGTGGTTGTAGCGGCAGGGTGTTTCCAGCAGACTGAATTATCACTGTTATGTGAATTATAACTGTATTTAAAGGATTTTTGAGGATGATAGTTCTGGGTAACAACTTGGCATTATTCATTTTTGCATAAACCATGACATCTGTATTCATATGTGTTCTGGGCATCTCAGAGGACAGCAGAAGTTTGGAAATAAATAAATAAATAAATAAATAAAATAAAAAGACACCTCTAATTTCCACTCCCCAAAAATTGAGATGTTGTGAAGAATAAAAACAGAGTACAACAATTTTCAAATCTCTTAAACACACGTTTTATTGACAATAGAAGATTGGATATAGCAAACGTGTAAACTGACACTGTGGTCAATAATTTTGAAAATACAAAAATATTAAACTAATTTTGAACACATCTTTAAAACGATAGAGCAGCAACAAAAGGTTGTAATAATAAGTGTTACGAACAAGAAACAGCCGACGGAGCATTTTCAACAAATTCGATTAACAGACAACAACAGAAAGAGAAAAAAAAAAACTGCCTTGCTGATGGTATAGGGTTGCATTATTGCCTATGGTAGGGACAGCTCACACATCTGTGAAGACACATCAATACAGAAGAGCCATACACAGGTTTTAGAAGAACAATGACTTTTCAGGGAAGGTCTTGCATATTTCAGCAAGACAATAATAAAACACGCTTCATAGAAGAAGAGCTTCTGAACTGTCTGCAGTCCACACAGCTCAACAAATGAAAACGTTTTTCAAAGCATTTAATTACAAATACAATGTCCCATGTTTTTTGAGATATGCTGCTGACATCTAACTTATAGACTGATTAATTTTTTATGTCAAACTGAGAAGCTGTGAGCTTTATGCTACAAGTTTGAAACAGTTGATTTTACAATGAAGAACTATTACTGTGAACTTCTGCTGAAGATAAACTGTTCTCTTTTAGAAGGTTACATCAGCTGGAGGTAAAAATATAAATAAAACTTTTGGCAGCTCAAGCAGACAGTTTCACTGCATCTCGAGTCACTTCATCCTTTATAACGTCTTCTCTGTTCAGACTATCATAAAAGCCTGAATGCTCTTTACATCTTTGTGAATTTAGCTTCTTCAGAGGCACGCGTCATAAAAGGCTTTAGTTCCGTAAATGTGCTCAAGGTTTTTTATTTTCCTTCAATTGTGTTTTTTGAATACCGGGACATTGGGAAAGAATAAGTCTCCTGAGATTTGAAATGCCAGATTTGATAAGAGTTTGAATTATAAGGCACGTAGACAGGCTCCGAGAACCCACAGGAGTGAGTTATTGCTGACATTGTGAGGACACAAAGAAAAAAATATCAAGCCTGGACAGTGCTGATGGCCTACATTTGTCTGCTCCAGGAAGACTCCTTCCTGAACTCAGACAGTGGTTTGACTTGCTGGCTGACAGGTCGACTTGGAGGAGAAGACCTGAAGAGACTGATGGTTACAGAAAATGAAATGTTGTGACCTGAGCAGATCCTTGGAGTCTAACGCAAGTGGTGAAGAGTGTCTGTGAGAAATCAGCAGAAAATCTGTATAAACCCCACCCCCTACAAATTCAATTTTAATCATCTAAACGTAGACTTGCACATTATGTGAATCTTAAAAACAAAATAAAACATTTAGATTTGCTGTGAAAGTTACAGCACAAAACGGACACGCAAACTGTTACATCTGGAAATAATAATATTAATAATAAGCCTCTTATCATCTTAGCCAAGATGGCCACGCTCAGCCGAGTTGCAGCTTCACAGGCTCCCGGTGAACTCAATCTTTTTTTTGTTCCTGTTGTTTCTGGGTTTTATTTTTTGGCACCTACAGTGCACATCCACAGTACAGGTATGACCGCAACACACTTGTGGCGTTTTCTGTGTCGCTGCCTTGCCATCGTGCCATCATGGTTCAGTCCTTCCAGCTTCGGGCTCAGGCCTGTCATGGTGGCCGTCTCCATGATCCTCCATCTGCCTGCACAGACTGAACTCTACGGACCCGTTCGGTTCTGCGGGGAAACCTTGGTTGTTCTCCGTCTGCCAGACCCAGTTCTGGAGGGCTGGCTTGGAGGCAGCTGTTGCGGTTGTTATTGCCATCATGCTGCTGAAGGGACCTGCTAACGCTGCTAACAAAATCTCAGTCTGACTGCACGGACCGAACTCTGCAGACCCGCTTGGTTCCACGGGGGAACCTTGTGTTCTCTGTCTGCTGGACCTGGTTCTGGAGGGCAGTTTGGGAGGCAGCTGCTGTGGTCATTATTACCATCATGCTGCTGAAGGCACCTGCAAACAAGACCTGCTTATGCTGCTAACAAGACCACACCGCTAACCAAACTACACCGCTAGCCGTACCATGCTGCTAACGAGACCATGTTGCTAAGATAACCTCACTGTCATCAGAGCCACTCTGCCAATATGACCATGCTGCTGTACATTTATTTCTTTTTCACTTTTGGCACCTTGTTTCTGTATTTTTGATGCATGCTTTGAATAAATCCTAGTTTATGTTAGTACTCGGGTCAGCTCCGAGCCTGATCCACTCACATTAAATGTGTGAACTATAACCGAACAGAACCTATAAGAATCGTGCTGCTGATGTTCGATGTATTGTTTTTGCACTATTAGAAACGGGCATATATCTTAGATCTTTTAGCGTACCACTGGGTATTTGTTTAGCGTATATCTTAGTTAATATCTTAGATCCTTGTTTACAGGGTTTTTTTTTTTGGCACTTTACATTTTGGCTATTGTTGGATGTAACTGGGACCCTGTGTACACAATTGCGTTCCACCTCATGTACCACATGCGATGCAAATGGCAATGTAGATCCTTAAATGCTTGAATAAGTGTTGGGCTCTTATTAAGTGATAAGGAGAGGAGCTCGTCATTTGGGGGTCTTTTGTAGTTGAGCAGCTGCTCTCATTGAAAGGAGCGATGACGGGGTTTGGGCTGGATGTCTCCCTCTGGGGTTTTCCTGGGCTTTTTCCTCTGGGAGGAGACCCTGAGAAAGGCCTTAGGATCCAGTTGTAGGAGCTGGTGAGTGTCTGGGAGAGAGATGGACTCACTGCTGATAAAATAAGAAACTGAACTGCAAACTGATAAGAGCAAATTAATCCTCTCAGCTTGAGAAGCAGGTGTAGAGGATGTCATAAAGTTTGATTTTTCCTTGCTGTTTGATTTCTACTGCAAAGACTTTTGAGAAAAGAAAAAGCAAGAGGATTAAGAAAAGGAAGAAGCAAAAAACTGCTTGGATCCTATTTGCTTTGCAGCAACCGTCAGAGGATTATTTATGTAAATTAATATGTTAATCTGCAAACCTTTATTCTAGCAAGCATACCGTTGCTCAGATTGCAACTGAGATCTGCTTTGGGATTTGTCTGTTTTACATTCGTATTCAGTGTGAGATCAGAGTCTAAACATCTGATGAACATCCAGCGTTGGACGTCCACCAACTCCTCTGCACTAATTGTTTCCAAGAGCTGCTCATAATGGCCAGCTGCGTCCATCTGCTGTTTGGTGCTGGACAGATAAACGTTGACGACGAAGGATCTTCATTTTTATGGGTTCAGTGCTGAAGCAGAAGCATCTTCTGTGCAGCAACAATTCAACTTCCTCATTAAAGGATCTAGCAGCACCTCTTCTGTTCTGTGGACTGATGAAGCTGCACACAACACACCGTGACAGTCAGATTTCTCTGCTGTTCCCTGGGGCACTTTCAGAAACTGACAGCATCATAATTTGCTACTCTTCTGTTTGTGAGAATATATTAATGTTTATTTTACTTTTTCTTTCTCAGGGGTTTTCCATCATGACATGCATAAGCACCTGTGGAGCCCCACAGGGCTCAGTGGCACGTGTGCCAGTAATAATTTCTCAGCCTGTACCGCTCCAAGGCACGACCTTAATGCTCGCTCCACAGCGGAGCGACCGTCTCTAGTATTTCACTGTCTGCAGTAATGCAGTGTCACAAGGTCCAGATTGTCTCTCCTAATCTGGTGGCAGGCATGAACGAC